GTCTGCGCCTCCGCGGCGTCCCCCGTCCCGTGGGGGCAAGTACCCGAGGCCGCCCCCGGACAGGCGGCTGGGCCCGTAGCGTGACCCGTCCACGGTAACTCGAAGGGGGCAAAGTTGTTTCCCAACATGGTGTTCTTACGTCCTTGTCAAAGACTCCAGAAGGGGTCGTCCGGGAACACGGAAGAGAAATTACATAGAAAAGTTGGAAGTGCTGAGGGCGAAAAGGTGTTTTCCCCATGTGGAAGGTTTTTAAACCTTCCAGAGAGCCTCTCCCGTGTTCAGTGTGAGCGGCCTTCCCTCTGCCCCTCTGGTGGGAGTTAATTTCTCGGACGAAGAGGAAATGCACCGGTCCGCGGAGCTCACAGAGACCGCAGACTGCGGAGAAAGCGAGATAACCTTGCCCTCAAGGCACTTAGACTCCTGCCGGGCGCAATGCCGTGTCGTGGCCAGAGCCCTACGCTAGGATTTGCAGTGGTTTAAATCAGTCTGACTACTCATTGACTGTCATCTTAGAAAAGTCAGGTAGGTTGTGAATCACCTAGACTCTCGGTTTTGAAACACCTAAAGCTCATACAGCAGTGCTTGCACATTAAGTCCTATACATGTGTGTGCTATTGGTGTTATTCATGTCAAAAAGACAATGCGTGTGCACATGGAGTTACGTAAGGGCTGAAATTGATGCATATAGTAAAAACTAAAATCAAGACGACAGAATTTAGCAGAAAACCTAATAATTCATGTTGGTTCTCCAACCATGTTATCTGTGTAAGTTCAGGACTGGTTCAGCAAAAGGAAAGATGAGTAGAATTTGGAGTATGCCGTAAGAGCAATAGAATTTTTGACACTTTAATGAAATTCCTTAAATGAACAAGCCTCTAGCCATCCTGTAAAGAAATACGTCAGGGATAGTATTTCATTTATGTATTTGAGAGGCATTCACTGAGAGCACCCACACTGTGCCAGTCACCAGGATGGAAAGATGGACAAAATGTAGGCCTGAGTCTGCATTTGACACATTCACAATTCAGTAATAATTGCAATTAGTTATCGAGTGTCATGGGCCAGGCATTGTGCTAAGTGCATTAAAAACAGTATCTCATTTAATCTGTAATTACAATAGTACAATGAGTTAGGTGTTATGTTTCCCATTTCCAAAATTCGGCAACTAAGACTCAGAATGATTTTCAAGGCCATACGATAAGTTGCAGAATTTGGTGTCAACCTCAGGTCAGTTACAATTTGAGGCCCATGTTCTCACCCCAAATGTTCCTCTCCAAACAGCTCACTCAGTCTTATGGTGGCTTGTACAAAGTGTCCTGTGGGAATACAGGCAGTGAGTGACAAACAGCTTGGGGAATGGGGGTTTGGTCAAAGCAGATGCCACATTCAAGTGCTGTTTGAGCTCAGCCTAAAGGATGGACGGGATTTTGCAGGTGCAGGAGAGAACAGTTTTCCAGGCAGAGGATGGTGTGCGAAGACAGACTTGAAAGAGGGCATGTAGTTGGCCCCCATGAGCGCTTCTGACGACAGTGGATTCTCAAGGAGAGGGCAGGAGGTGAGGCACCAACAGTTGAAGGGCATCTTCTCAAGAGGTGAGTTTTGTCCCAGATGTGACGTGGGAGTCACTGAAAGTGTTTAAGCGGAGGGGCGCCGCGATCAGTCCAGTGTTTTAGACTGAGTTCCACTGACAGCTTTGCAGATAAACTGGAAGGAGAGAGGACTGAACACAGAACCACCAGTTAAGGGAGCATTTATAATATCTTAAATGAACGATGAAGAAAGCCAGAATGAGGCAGTGGCATTATGGAAAGAGGTAAAGGTATGTCAAGGATAATTTCAATTTCTTGCTTGGCATGTGGTCTCTCCACATGGGGAGACATACCGCAGGCAGATAACAGATAGTGCTGGCTTTCTAACTATAGTCTGATCAATCTTGTATGCTCAAGAAAAGAACCATAAGTATCCTAGGGTTTTGGGACTAGAGGCATTTTCTTATTAATGAGGAAAGTGAGGCCTTTTGAAGTTAAATAACTTGCCTAATAATCCAGTGGCTGGCTGAGCCAGTGTGAGATTCCACCACATATTCAGTCAACATTTAAAGATATTCATTACATGCTACTGTGTTGCAGCGACAGTGTTGAGTGCTGGTGACAAAAACTGATTTATTCCTTGCTCTCACAGAGCTTTGTACACCCTGGTAGAGGAAGCAGATGTTAGTCATACATATTATTACACAAATATAAACTGTCAAAGGTCTCGAGTGGCTAGGGCATCTAACCTAGTCTGAGAAAGCTTTTCAGTGAGAGTAGTGCCTGAACTAAATCCAAAGGATGAAAAGAATTGAATCAAGAGAAAAGGAGGAGGGACAAGCATTCTAAGCAGAGGAACGGCATGTGCAAAGTTCCATTGGTAGGAAGAAGTATGACTGCATGAAAGACAGGGTGACTGGGGCAGAGCTCGAGGGACAGTGTTGTTTGAGATGATTTTAGGAGGTAAGCAGATCTTGTTTGATAGCACAGGAATCTACTCTGACCAAAAAACTCTGACAGGTGCCAGACTACTGTTAGATGAGCTTTATGCCAGTCACACTGCCTAAATCGATGCTGACAGTTGTGTTTTATTACAGATGGATATTATATGTGAATGAAAGAATTTTCTTGAACCTTAGAAGTTTCTGAATACATACCTACCTAGGTAATTAAGGGATAAATTTTCCATAGTTTTTTAACTTTCTGATTTCGGAGGCTCTAACCTGTGCTGACAAAGACGAGAAGATTGACATAGAAGTAAATAATCAATTATAAAACAATTTACAGTTTCAGGGATTAATGGTGCAAAGTAATCTACCTGTTTTCTTTTTCATTGTAAGTACATAATTTTTTCCTCTTTCACTGACAAATGAAAACAACAGCTGAGAAAAACAATAGCGTAATTACTGACTTGTCTTTCCAGGTAAGTGGCGGCTGGAACAGACTTATTCTTGTGGGTGAAGGTGACTGTAATTTAAGAACAATAGAAAGAAACATCCTCATTTCAGGGAAAATCTTGTGCTGAGCTCAAGTGGCTTGAGATGGGGAAATGGTCGATTAAGCGACAGACATGAATTTAGGAGCTTAAATTACGAAGAAAACTGTGTTTAAAATGAATGGTCAACGGATGGCAACAACCCAACCCAGGCAAACCATTGACAGCGCTCTTAGCGCAGTTCGTGCTTGTCGGTCTGCCAGTCCAGTCTCACGTTCCGTGAAACTCGCCTTCTAGCTCTTCTCCACTTCTTTCTGCCCCATGACTTTGAAGGAATGAAGTTCGGAAGGCATTTTTTTGGTGGTTTCCCCTCCCTGAAGCTCTGAAGAAGCGATACGAGGATAAAGCCCCCTTTGCTTAATATCTCTCTAACCTAGAAGTAGATCTAATTCCTTCCAACCACAGATGAGCACAAGAAAGAAAGCGCTCCGACCTAGGGAAATCGAGCCTTCACAAAGATGGAAAACCGATGAACATGGGCAGTGGATCTGTTCCCTGTACCGCTTGCTGCACTTCTGCATGTATTCCAGTTATGGATTATATATTATGTGCTTATACCATGGTAGCCCCTTGTCATACGAAGGTGAAAAGACCAACATACATGCAAACAGTTATGTAGTAGCTGCATAGTGGCATCCAGAGACATCAAGTCCTAATTTGACATCTGTAAATGTGACCTCATGTGGTTTAATAGGGTCTTGAGATATGTTGAATTGAGGATCTTGAGATGGCGTGGTCATCCTGCTTTGTCAGAGTGGGCCATCAATGCAGTCACAAGTGTCCTTACAAGAGAGAGGCAGAGGAGGTTTCATGCAGATGAGGAGGCAGCAATTTGTCACAGGGCCGGAGATTAGAGTGGTGTGGCCACAAACCCAGGAATGCAGATGCCACCAGAACAGATTTCCCTGAAGAGCCTCTGGAAGGAGTTCGGCCCTGCCAACACCCCGACTTTAGCCCGATGATACCGATATCAGACTTCTAGCCTCCAGACCATGAGGGAAGAAATTTCTATTTTAAGCCATCCATTCTGGGATCATTTGTCACAGCAGCCATAGGAAGCTAATACCAATCATGTTACAATAAAAGTTTTAGTAGGGAGACGAACAAAGTGTAGGAAGGCTTCACAGAGGACCCAAAGGGCTAGAAGGAAGATTAAAGATTGATCAAAGGAGGAGGACCCCCAAATGGGCTTGAGGACCTGAAGGTGTAAATTCCTTGGAGTGGGAGAGAACTTGACAATCCAGATAATTATTTTTCTTTTATTTAACACACGCTTCCATAACTCTTACTATACATCAAACACACTTTTAAAATATATTCACTTAATGCTCTTTACAACATTTTATAGATGAAGACACTGAATCAGTGTAGTTAAATGACATGTCCAGGTGAACAGTGGGGTGAGAACTCAAAGCAGGCCACGTGCCCATAAGTCCCTACTCCAGACCCCAGCACCGTGCTGTGTTACTGTTTGGCAGAGCTCCAGCCCTAGGTAGAGGATCTCAGGAGAGGCTGGACGAGCAGGAGTGGCCCCATGAATTAGAGTTCTGTAAGGCCATGTGCATAGGAGTTAGGTGTACTGTATGGGTACTTTGGAGCCAGACGTGATCCAACTGTTGCTTTAGAAAGGTTATTTTCATGGCTGAATGTAGGATAAACTACAGGAGGTGAGGCAGAGAGAGAAACAAGGAGTCTAATGCAATAATGGAGAGTCCAGAGGAGAGATATCGCTGGCACGAGCAAGGGCAGTGCCAGTGGCAACGGAAGTGAGGGATACAGATTTGAGAACTTTTAATTAACAAGAGCTGGGGATTAGAGTGTGTGAAGGAAAATAAGAAAGGGGAATATGAGCCATGAAAAAATATGCCTGATGACAGCTGACATCGTCTCCGTCTAATCCCTTAAATTCATTTCCTCCCGTCTTTCGCGAGTGTTCTACAAACAAGATCTTGTTATTTCTTCCTTCCCTGTATTTCTAGTTTAATTTCCATTCTTATGTCACTCGGCTCTTACAGCTTCACTGCTGGATAGCTGCAATAGCCGTAGTATTTTGAGATGGCCAAGGATCATACATCGAGCTCTGCATTTCCCTTTCTACCCCTCACTGTGACCTCTCATTCCGTCAGTGGCATTGACTTGAGAAGAAATGGAGCCGAGGGTCTCAGGGGACTCAGGACTCTAGTCATAGCAAATTCGTGATGATATAGGAGCAATAGCTCCCTCTGCCCAGTAGTGATTCTCCAGGACTCAGGCAAGAAGAATTGGAAGGAAAGCCAGAGGGAAGTGGGGGTCCTCTGAGAAGGACATGCACCTTAGTTTCCCTCTAGGCTGAACCCTGGAGCAGTGGGGCACCATAACAAAAACTGTATAGGTTTGAGAGAATTCTGAGCAGAGATAACCTCTGTCCTAGTCTCATGTAGACCTGGACTCCCCTGCATGCTAGAGATGGGTGTGCGGGAGAAATGCCTAAGACCTCTCGGGGGTCTCCCATGGGAAGCAGTTCCCATGCCCCTAAGAGGGGCCCGAAATCAGACAAGTGAGGCATTCAAGAGAGCCACTGTGGATGAGAACGAGGGACAGCGCAGCAGAGAGCAGTGCAGACTGATGACCAAGGACCAGATGTGTGGCCCCTGGCCCCACACGCAATGCCTTAGCATCATGGTGCTACTCAAACGCAAGAGGCAACCCAGGGAACTGACTGACATGACATTTCTACCACCCAGGGAAAATGAAGGCTCATAATGAAAATTGTTGGTTTTTTAAACCCATGCATTTACAGACAAGCTTCATCTGTCTGGTCTCTCTGCATTGTGTGTGCCCTAATTACTGCTGTCAGACACACTGTCTTAAAAGATCTGCTTTAATAATGAGACTTCTGTTGAAGATCTTTCAGTTGTCCTTTATTGTATACTTCATCAAAGACAAGCTCTTCTTTCTTAAAAACCTACCTCTGTCTTACCTTGAGTTCTCTCTCTTCTCAAAGTTTCTCTAAACATTTCTACCCATAACAATTTCCACTTCCTACGGTAAGTTTTATCTATTTGTACCTTATTGAAATATAATCAACAATTTATGTATATCCCTATGTGAGTTAAATATCTTTAAACTATTTGGTAGTCTTCTCTGGATATTCAATACTTGTTTTATGTTAGATTTTCAAACATTTTCTGAGTGACTGAAGCGCTTACAGGGCTGATCAAGTTTCTATGTTATACTGGTAATGTTTTTCACCTAGCTTCTAGATTTCTTAACACCATATCCCAGGAATCAATAAACAATTTAGGTAGTGAATTTATGAAGAGTTTAAAGATCAGAATCTTTATTCTGATATAGTTAAAAACCATTATAAAAGGAGTAGGAGTTTTTTTGCTGTTGTTTAGAGGGGGTTATGCTGTTGTTATTTTCCTGATCATGGAATCATAGGTGTTGGCTTGCAAGGCTTACGAATCCAGGTGGCCAAAGGCACCCATATATTCTGTTGTCTTGCTAGCAAGCAAGTGAAGGTGTGGACTTGGACAGAAGTAAACCTCTGCTTTCAAGCTGAAGTGCAGCAAGAGCATCCCTAACGCACAAATTACAGTCAACGCCAGCCTCTCAGCCGCACTGCAGCATTTTCACTAGAGGCAGAGTCACCACAGAAGAAGAAACTATTTATATCCATGGGAGGAATACGAAAGCCAGAGAAAAGTACATAAATAACTATGTGCGGATCAGATTGATCAATTCTTAAACTACCAGCCATATTCTCTTGCATTTAGAGGGAACAAGGAAAAAAGAAAGAAAGGAAGCTTAAGCTAGGCTTGTCCTCATAATTCAGGAAGTATAACAATTCTAACTAGACACTAAAAATTGAATAAAAATGCAGCAAAGACCGCAAAAAAGGCCCCATTACCGACATATTTGGTTTTCATCTAGACTTGTAAGCTTTTTTCTTTATCTCTGGAAAGTCTCATTAGCTTTTCCTTCATTTTAAATGAAAAGGTACTAAATGTAATGAAGTTTAGAAGTTGTGCATATTTTTTTTGTTGAGCGCTGTTAACAACTTTCTTATTTGTGGGGAGGCAGTGTCATCAAGTGCTTGGAAGGAGGGGGATGAGCATAGAATTGGGTTTTGTTACCAAAGGCTAACTTGACCTGAGCAACTCACCTGGAGCTAGATTTTTGGTGCCTTATGCTCCTTCTAAAATCCCCACTAATTTTAAGTGAAAGCAGAAGAGATCCATAAAAAGAGATAAAGCATGATATTTAGAGCTGGAAAGCCTTCGTCTACCTGTTTTATAGGTTTAATCTTTACATAAAATTTGAATATATCACTATAATTTATTTCTCTTATAAAAGGGAAGAAAAATACAAGAGGAAAAACGTCGATAGCTGTGAATCGAAGAAGAATCCATGCAAAGCTGAAAGTGGTCAGCTGTCATCATCTCAACTGTAAGCTATTGAAACACTTTTTTAAAAAAATCCTTTGTTTAATTTTTTTTTCCTACGAAGGGTTAAAGATTAGTAACATTAAAAGTTTGTTATTTGGGAAATCGATAAAATGTAAAGTAAACAATATATTTTCTTAAACTGGAAAACTAGAATTTGTTGCTTTGCTTCATAACAAAAGAATTTATACAACGTTATCTTGAAATATAGTTAATTTAAGACCCAGACACTTATTTTGAACTCTTGTGGGAAGTACACATGGGTCATAGCTGTAGAGGAATCAAAGTTAAATTAGACCCACATCTATCCTCTAGGAATTTAGAATTTAGAAGAGGAAACATGATATATACTTAGAAAGCTATAAAAATCTACAAAAATATAAGCCTCGTAAAGGCAAGGAGATTAGTCTCTTCTGCTCCAGACAATGCCTGACACAAGGTAGGTACTCAATAAATATTTGTTGGATGAACGGATAACATAAGAGATTGCTGAGGTAGATGGTTGAGAATTGTAAAAAAAAAAAAAAGAAAAAAAGAAAGAAAAAAGCAATTGGTAATAGGAGGTACAGGTAACTTCCAGCATCTGTGAAATTATATTTGTAACTTATAGATAATTAAGCTGACAGGCCATGAACAGATTCTCCCTTGCATTGCTATTTTTCAAATCCGTCAGCTGTTCTGCCATCCTCTTCAAATAAGATCATGAACACACTAGGTAATGAACACGTTACTCGACACACTGGGATTCCACGGAATGAGGAAGTTAAACTAGATCAGTGTTTATGGGGACAAATATGCAAGATCATTTTAGAAGGCAGAATGATTAAATGTGTCCACTAGCTCATCAAGCCTCTGATGTCATGGGTGCTATTGCCGAGGAGGGAGACCTAATGGAAAAGTACTGAATAAATGATAGTAGGGGTTTTATGCAAATGTCATACAACTCGGAAGACAGCACATTAGTGACTGAGGTTTGGAAAACAAGGAAAGGAAGATCATTAAGGTCATTTTAGTTTTATTATTTTGTGACTTAAAATTTCAACCAGAATAAAAGCCTTTGCCCGACTTAAAAACTTAAATCTAGTTCGCTTTCTTAAATCCTCTGAATGGTTTCTCAACAGCTTTCTCAATAGTTGACTAAATATAAATAGTATCTGTTTGTTTGTCTCGGGGTGTTTTCTTACAGTGACCTCTTTATTAGATAATGTGACTCTTAAAATTGGTGCTAGTGCCTGCTACAGTTTCATCAGTCTGCAGCAAAGTCAGACAAGCACGGACAATATAATACTTATATTTAGAAAGCTAAACTGACTCAAAGAGAATTTTTTAAAAATCTGAGAGTAGGATCTTTTCAAGGTTAGAATATCTTTTTTTTTTTTTAATGATGGAGGGTGTTGATAGTATTTATCATGTTTTTGGCAAAATAAAAATTATTAATCCTCTGTAGATCCCACCACCTTTTAAATAAATTATACTATTTTCTGAAATTTAGTGACATGAATGTTAAGAATGGTATTACAGAGACTACCTGGAATTACTCCTCAATGCAGATTGTTGAGTCTTCAGATAACCTTGTGCTAAATGTTCAAAATCACGCCTTGATTTCCTTTAGTTCTTGGTCATGAATACCAGCACTTGTCTACACTTCAATACACCAGACTACTGTAGATCAAGAAATATAAGTACACGTACGATTGAAACTGATTTCTTTAAAAGCATTTTAAAAATTCATTTCTGTTTTTACCACAATTTCACTACTTTTGGAAAAGAGATTAGGCATCTTCGATGATAGTGTTATTAACATTATACCATGTTAAGCAAGTTTTATTCATGTAGTTTTATTGAATTCTATTTTTTCTTTGACCATACATGATTTATTTATATACCTAGAGTGCTAAGGAAACAAACTATGAAAAAAAATTGATAAGTCCACTGATTTTTATTGTTCTATAAGCAATGTATATTAACTTGATGAAGTTTAGAAAATACATATAAACCCAGTGATTATCAGTGTAAAGTTTTTGTTGTAGATCCTTCTATATCTTTCTTTATAAACATATTTTACAACAAAAATGAGATTATATTGTACATGCTGTTTTATAACTTGCTTTTTCAACTTAAAAAAAAAATATGTTGTAAATCTCTTTCCATGGCATTAAATATTTTTCTACATCATTTTAATAACTTCATATTGTGAAATTGTGACATACTATAATCTATTTAACTAGTTCCTTGTTGTTATTGATATCCACTATTGATATCCACTTTTTCTATTATATTGAAATGGACATCTTTGTCAAGTTAAATCTTTATTTTCTTTTTTGAATAATTCATTAAGATAAATAATTAAAATATAAAGTACAAAGTAAGAATCATATGTAATAGCACCAACCAAAGATAATTACTTTAAACTTTTCAGTGAATGTCCTTGTAGTTTCTCATATATATATGTTTTTTAGTGACCTATCTACATATCTATTCTGAGAGATAGCATACAGAATTTCATACTGTTCTATAATCTACTTTTCCTACATATAATTGACATCTTTTAGTGTCAATAAATATTGACCTATATCATAATTTGTAATGGCTCCATGGTCTTCTCTTGTACCATAATTCATTTAATTAGCCCCCCGTTCGTGGACTATTTGGAGTTTTTAATCAGTCTAGACAATGCTGCAATAAATATTCTTTTAAATAGCTGTTTCAATATCTAATGAATACATTGCTTTTTTTTTTTTGAGAAATGTTACATTCAGTGCTATTTCCTGGAAATTCACAATGCAGATTCATGTTTTAAGCAAATATTCAGTGAACACCTACCAGCTGTACTGGGATTAATGTATTAAAGGCTCTGGAAATTCTTACAGTAAATAAATCTTTAAACTTTTTTAAATTTAAGGTTTCCCAACCTTTTGGATTTTTTTGGTCATGGAACTTCGCTGCCATTTCTTTTTGAAATAGAGCATCTGCTAGTATTTCACCCATTTTACTTGGAACAGAATTTAGAAAATGCTAATCTAGTATCAGTCTTGTTGAAAACTACTAATTAACTGCCTGTACTTACCTGTTACTTTTATAGGAACTCTGAAAAAAAAATCTTAGGAATTATTTAGAAGAAAGATATGTTTTAGGCATTTCAGAACAATACGTCTTTGATCTGAACTGCCAGATTAACTTCCAGAGTAAGTAGTGTTTTGGAATGAATATTTTGGTGGGACACTAGAGTTTCATTTCACTTTATTTTTTTTAAATAGTATTCATGTCATTAGAACCAAAGGTATATTTGAACACAAAGGAGAATGTGAAATACAAAGTAGTTTTGGCTCATCCGTGGATTTATCGAGGGAGAGGAGTAAATTTGCATGGGAAAATAGACTAGACCAAGGAAGAGAGATGCAAAGAGAGAGAGAGGAGATTATTAAAAGGAATTAAGGATGGAGGTCATGAAGATTATATAGTAACATGTGAAATAATTAAAATATTTGGTAGAAAAAGAAGAATACTAAATCCTATTCATACTATGTAAAAACCAATAAGAAAAAATTGGGTGGGGGAGATCCAATAAAATAATTGCGTTTGGGTGCTTTTTCCTTTCATCTGTAATTGTGGTTTTCATTTTTATTTTTAAAATATATAACAAAATTGAAAAGAAAAGGAATACTAAAAGATCAGACAAAATTAGGAGAAGAAAGCCTTATGGAGGAGGAGGAAGAGAGTGGTTGAGTCAAACAAAGGCAACACGCAGATGAAAGTGAACAAGGGTAGAAGAGAGAACGTTCCGTTTGTCCTGGAGGAGATCATTAATGGCACAAGTGCTGTGAAGTGGACAAAAGCTAGTCTGTGGTGGGGTCAGATGAGAGAACCAGAGAAGAATAATTTTTTTTTAGGACCTAGGAGCACAATAATCCACTTAGAGGTTCCCCTCAGCTACTATTACTTTAGTTCGGGTTTTATCATGTCGGGATTTTGCCTATATCAGTTTTTTTCCAGGAGCTGATAAATGAAACCTTAAAAAAAGAAATCCTGTGAGTAAGTTTCTTTGCCCTTATATTTGAACTGAATAATAAAGAAATGGTAAATTCTCTTTCTGAGCTATTCTAGAAATGCTACCATATAGAAATCTTAATAATATACCCCGTGCATGCTATTTAAAAACAGGAGAACTTGGTCGCTCAAGGTCATTTCAGATGCCTTTTTTCCTAAGTGATTTGTGTATATTTTATCCATAAAAGACAAATTATTATGAAAGGATGTGAAATATAGGTTTAAGAAACTCAAAGAACAAAGTGCATTTTTGCTCTTTGAATTTCTTAAAATTAAGTTCTTAAGACTCCCGCTGCTTACCTTCAAGCAAGCAACCTTGAAACTACTCCATGAAACCCAGTTAAGGGATGAACCACAGAGTTTTCACTTATATAAATATATATTTTTTTAAAAATAGCACATGGGAGAGAGAACATTTAAGTCTTCCAGTATCCATACTTATTAACAAAATTGAATGCCTGTGGTGGGTCTCAAAGGAGCACATAGCCGCAGCCTCTTTATGTCACAACTCAGCCAGAAGCATTTATTCCTTTGTAATTAAGGCCAAGGGTACAACCGGTGATGCGAATGGAAGCAATTATGTGGATTATTCCGCTCCCTCAACATTTCTCAAGAGTTTGTTTGTGGCTTTCTGTTTGAAGTTTCTGTAAAGTTCTGTTGGGTCTCCTTGGTGCTGTTGGTCCAATCTCAGAAAAGAACAATAGCTAGTGCTTAGCATTTCCGATATGACAGTTTTAGGTGCTTTAAATATATAACCTTCGCCTGCTCTTTCAAAAGTCTGTGGGGGTTAAATGTGAAGTCCTGGGTCCCCAGGAGCAGGTACTGAGATGAGGTTCAAATACAAGGGGTTTATCCCTGAGGTGGTCCCAGGAGAGACCAGTATGGAGTGGGAGGAGCAGGCCAGGGACAGGGAGTTGAGCTAAGCAAGGGTACGCCTCAGGCCAAATCCTTCAGGAG